ACTACCATTAAGTTGCTGTCATTGTGCCATTTAGTTGCATAATGATCCTACAGGACATGGCGGAACTCCCTCTGGGAGTTCCTGAGACTGTAACTCTAACCAGCAGTAGAAAGCCCCATTTGTTTCCCACTGAGCAGCTGTTGGTTTGGACCTGCTGTCTTGCAGTTAGCAGCCCAACCCATAAGCACTATGCCACCGAGCATAGCCATCATCTCTCTTGCGGGGGTAGCTGGCTGTTGGTGTAATGCTGAAGAGGTTTCAGTAGAGCGTTCAGAGTAAGAAATTGATCTATTTCTGAAAAATCATTCTTTAGATCACATGGCTATTCAATTATATTTATAATGAAAATTTGCAATTGCAAATATTTCCCTTGATTGTGACTTACCAAATTTACTTTTGAGAGACAGGTGTTTAAGACTAACATGAACAACCATCTGGCAGAGAATATGGTGAGAGATATAAATGATCCTTCTTACTATTAGAACTATCATCTTCTATGAACTATCATCTACTACCTATTGTAAACATATGACAAATATGGCACATAGAACAGTTATATAAACTCACAAAATAGCATGCTGCGCTATTGGAGGGCGTATGGATGTGGATGAGAGATTGTGGAATACACCAGCACAACAAAGGGATCAGAGCAATCTAAGTATTTCCCTCTAGGTATACAAAATCCTGGAACTATTCTCCAACTAATGACAAAAACAAAAGCAGTAGAATCCAGATCTGGTTGCCGTAGAGAAGTTAATAGAAATAGAGAGTGAGTAGCAGCACAGCACTGCCTGGTGAGAAGATATGCCTCTTTCACAGAAATTAAGCTCCCAACTATTTTATTAGTGTACTTTGGGAGGCAACCATCAAGTAGTTGCAAAGTCCCCGGGCACATGATGCTGCGGTGGATCCCAAGATTACACATATCCTCGTCCCAAATCAAACCCACTGCCATCAAGCGGGCTTCAACGTGGAGCGACCCTCGATGAGGTTTCTGAGGCTGTCCATGTACACAGGAGTGGACACACTCGTCTTTCTCCCCAGGACTAATGAGTTTGAACTGCCGATCTGGCCCTTCATTGCTTACCCACTAGCTCCATCAGGTCTCCCTGCTACACATAACGTCCACCTGAAGTCCTCCTAAATAGGTTCTCTTTGAGTCCCTTAGCTTGTTAGTAAAGCAGGATAACATAGTAGTTGGAAGTTAAATCTTGGTCCAAATAGGAATTCTGCAGAACATTATCCACACCTATAGTTTTGCTCAAGGTAACAAGCTCACTGGGCTTCAATTTTCTTATGTGTGAAATGGAGAAAATGAGAGCTTTCTCGGAAGGTTTCTTGTGAGGACAAATGAGAGGGAAACAAGATGAAAACCACCTAGCAATGCCTGCCAAACGACTTCCTGGATGAAACCAAACCAAACTCATTTGATTAACTCTTTATTGGAGTAGAAAGTCTCCTTTTTCTCCTACAGAGCAGCTAGTGGTTTAGAACTGCTGACCTTTCAGATTGCAGTCCAATATACAACCACTGTGCCACCAGGGGTTCTTGCTTATAAATACAGCCTATTATTATCTATTTGGTCTTTTACAAGGTTATATATATATATGTATATGTGTGTATATAGATATATATATCTTCCATGTTGAAACATTCTTTATGAACATAAACAGTACACATACCTAAGCCAATTGACATTCTCTGAAAAACTCCTCTAAAATGAGGTGTCCTGGTGGTAAAGAGGTGATGTGTGGGCTGCTTATCATATGGACACAGTGTGAAACCATCAACCTAGGCCACCAGAGACAAGTGAGTCTTCCTATCCCTGTAACTGCCTCTGTGGGTTTCTGAGACTGCAACTCTTCAAAGAAGTTGAAAGCCATGTCTTTCTTCCATGGAGTTGCTGGTGGTTTCGAACTGATGACCTCGTGGTTATCAGCCCAATATGTAACGACTATACCACAAAGGTTTCTTTACCATGGGCATTGCTGAGGGAAAATGAACTGGTTTCAGTCATTTTGAATCAGATAATCATATGAATTACTATGTTCGAAATGACAAATTCAAAAGAAATGGCATCAAATTCATCATCAAAACAAACATGTCTAGATCTACCGGGAAGTATAATGCTGTCGGTGATAGGATATTATCTCTATACCTACAAGAAAGCCCATTTCAAACAACCACTATCCAAATTTACCCACCAACCACTCGATGGGTACTGCCATCGAGTGGATTCAGGCACCCGAGGACCCTAGAGGACACAGTAGAACTGCCCTTGAGTTTCCAAGCCTATACCTTTTACAGAAATAGTCAACCTCACTGTTCTCCAGAAAAACAGCTGGTGGTTTTGAACTGCTGACTTAGTGGTTAGCAGCCTAATGCATAACATACAAGCCACTACACCCCCAGGGCTCTCTGTTCACTAAAAGTGGCGATAAAGACATTGAAGAATTTTATCGACATCTGTCTAAAATTGATCAAGCATGCAATCTAGATGCATTGATAATAACTGGTGCTTAGAATTCAAAAGCTGGAAATAAAGGGGAAACATTAACAGTTGGAAAATATGGCCTTGGCGACAGAAATGAAGCTGGAGAGATGATGACAATTTTGAAAGACCAATCGCTTCTTCATTGACAAAATGCATTTTTATTTTTTTAAAATCATTTTATTAGGGGCTCATACAACTCTTATCACAATCCATACACACATCAATTGTGTAAACCGCATTTGTACATTCATTGTCCTCATCATTCTCAAAACATTTTCTCTCCACTTAAACCCCCGACATTAGGTCCTCATTTTTCCCCTCCCTCCCCGTTCCCCCCTCCCTCATGAGCCCTTGATAGTTTATAAATGGGTATTTTGTCATATCCTGCCCTGTCCGACGTCTCCCTTCACCCACTTTTCGGTTGTCTGTCCCCCAAGGAGGAGGTCACATATAGTTCCTTGTAATCGGTTCCCTCTTTCCTACCCACTCTCCCTCTACCCTCCCTGTTTCACCACTCACACCACTGGTCGTGTAGGGCTCATCTGCCCTGGATTCCCTGGATTTGCATTTTCCAACAGCATTCATGGCAACTATCCAAGTGAGCCTCATGGGATGGAAGAGACCCGAATCCTACTGACTCCGCCTGGGAGAAGTGGCGGTGGAGGAGCTCCCCTTCATCAGCCCGGACAACTGCGGAACCAACTGTCAACGACTCGTAGGTAAGGCTGAAGTTGGTGAAAATTAAAACAAGTTCACAAGTGCAAAATATAGCCTTGAAAATGTTGTCGCGTTGTCACTGGTGGTGTTAGAGGGCCTCGAGTAGATTGTGACTTGGCAGACCTGGGGTGAACCCACGCAGAAGAACGTGAAAGCCTGGTGAGTATGTCCGGCACCGTCCTCACAAACACCACTGTTTGTGAACCTATATTTGCAGCCATGTGGCCACCCATTCCCCCCGAGGGCCTTTTTCTGTCTTATGGACCCTCCACTTCACCAAACGCGATGCCTTTTCTCCAGGGACTGGTCTCTCCTGGCAACATGCACAAAATATGTGAGGGCAAGGAACATTCTGATTGTATTTCTTCTAAGACAGATTTGTTCGTGCTTCAGACAGTCCCTGGCACTTTTATCCATATGATACACCAACACTGTAATCCAAAGGCATCGGTTCATTATTTTGTAATCTTTCCTATTCATTGTCAAACTTTCATATGCATACGAAGTGACTGAAAACTAAGCTGGCTTGAGTTAGGCCCTCATGCGCCCTCAACATGATATTCTTGTTCTTCAACACTTTAACGAGGTCTTCTGCAGCACATTTGTGCAATGCCGTATGTCATTTAGGTTCTTGATCGCGGCTTCCATGAGCATTGGCTGTGGATCCAAGCAAAATGACACCCTTAACTTCAATCTTTTCTCCTTCTTTCAGGATGTTGTTTATTGCTTCACTTGTGAGGATTTTGGTTTGAAATGGAACCTGAAGTATATCCCACCTGATTTTAAAAAGTATCTCAAGGTAAGATGATGCACTGAACACTAATGACTGATGAGCTGAAGATTTTTGAATGATGACAGTATGAACATCATACACAAGGAAATAAAAGGTCATTAGAAACCGAGGAAAATGAAAAAGGGTAAAAAAGCAATGACAGGAGACATTTCGAAACTTGCTTTTGACTGTAGAGTGGTTAAAATAGATGGGGAAAAGTGATGACACGAAAGAGTTAAAGATAATTTTTCAAAGGGCTGCTTATGAAGTTACATAAAGGATTATAAGAAAATAAGCGGACATTCCACGTTAGAAAGCCAGAAAAGAACAAGTTCCATATTTCTAAAGCAATATTGACTGATTCTATGGGCAAAATACTGAAATTATGCTAAAGCATAAAAAAGGAAATAAAAGGAATATACAGAGTAACTGTAATAAAAAAAACCTGGTAGATAGTCACCCATTTCAGGATGTAGAATCTGATCAAGAACCAATGATATTGGAGGGAAATGTCCAAGTTGCACTGATGCCAACAGGGAAAGCAAAGCGCCTCCCGGCATTGACAGAGTGCAAATAGGCATGTCTCCACTAACGATGGATGCTGGAAGCACTAATTAGTACCCCAAGAAATCCGAAAGACCTACTCAGCCACCTGACTGGAAGAGATCCACACTTGTATCCATTCCAAAGAACGGTGACCTGTCAGAATGAAAAATGTATTTAACAGTATTGTTCATATCAGATGCAAGTCCACTTTTGGTAAAGATAATTCAAAACCATTGAATTATCATGGACATCAACGTGAAGCTGCCAAATAAGAAAGGTGGATTTGTCAGTGGATGTGGAACGAGGTATATACTTAAATGGAATTTGGCTGAAAACTGGGAATAACAAAACGATGTTATGTGTGTTTAATTGACTATGCAAAGGATCACAATAGACTATGGATAACATTGAGAAGAATGGAATTCCAAAACACTTCATTATACTAAAGTTGTACATGTATGTAGAGCAGGAGTTAGCCCTTTGACAGGACCAGAGGATACTACAGGGCTTAATATCAGGAAAGGTGTGGGTCAAACTGTATCTTTTCATCAAATTTATTCAAACTGTATAACGAGTAAATCATATGAAAAGTGGACCATATTTAAAAATGGTATCAGGATTGGAGAAAGGCTTATTAGCAACCTATAATAAGCAGATAACACAACCTTGCTAGATGAAAGTTCAGAGAATTAAGGTGTCTGCTGATAAATATCAAGATTATAGCCATCAGCATGGGTTTCAATTCAATGAAAATAAAAGGAAACTCTAAATAGAAAAGACTGATGTTGTCAATGATTCAATTTGTTTGGATCCAGAGCCAGTGCTCATGAGAGCACTCAAAAAACAGAATAGTGGGCCAATATCCTGCGTGAAACCTCTTTGAAGCGTTAAAGAGCAAAGACGGAATTTTGAGGAATGGGTGAACCTGACCCAAGCTATGTTATTTTCTATCACCTCAATGCATAGGAAAGCTGGAGAACACATAAGGATGACTGCAGAGAATTAAGGCATTTGAATTATTACATTGATAAGAAATATTGACAGTACCCTCGGCTGTTACAAGAAAGAACGAATCTGTCTTGGAGACATACACCTATAATTTTCCTTAGAAAATTGGGGATGGTGAGACTTCCCCCACATATTTTGGATATGTCATCAGGAAAGATCAGTCTCTGAGGGAGGATATCATGATTGGGAAAGGGGAGAATCGTGAACAAGAGGACGACCCTCAAGGAGATGGGTTGACACAGTGCCTACAAGGGGCTCCTCTGTGGCCATGGTTGAGGATAGCACACGACTAAGCAATGCTTACTTATGTCCGCTGTTGCAGGGTTGCTATGAGCCAGAATAGCCTTGCCAACACCTGACAACAAAACCATTAAACAATAGCAAAACCTTCTAAACATAACAAAGAAGGAAACGAAAATGCAGCCTCTATCAATAACTCCCTCAAAGCCACACAATTAATAAATGAAAGGGGTCAAAATGCAATTCAAGGTCCAGTGTGGATTCTTTCACAAGTGAACACACCTACACTACAGGAACCAGAGACAAGAAGTGCCGTTTGTGGCATGGTCACTCCGTTTCCTAAGAGCACAGAAGCGACGAGGTTACTTTCTGCAAGGGAAATCGGGCAATACCGGCGTTGGAAGGAAGGAACCCCATTGACAAGAGGTGGGAAATAACAATAAACAAACATGTGCACACAGTTACAAAGTATGACTTGCAAGCCCTGAAGTGTTTGTTTTATTATCATATTAGCTGAGGGGGCTGGTGGCGGTGGTTAAATAAAGCTTACCATAAAGATTTGAACCACAAAATGATATTGGTAGTTCTAGTCTTAGATATTTTAACTTAATTGAGCAGGAAGCCGGGGATTATGATAAAGCCTTGGTTCTAACTGAAGGTTTAATGATTCGCATCCACCCAGTGGCCCCTCAGAAAACAAGAGTCCCACAATCAACTTCAGCCTTTGAAAATCCGATGGAGCAAAAGGTCTCTTACAAAACGCAGGGTCCTCATGCGCGGGACCCTACCTGACAACAATGGGTTTGCTTTTGGTTTAGGGCATCACGGAAATATTTTCAGGAGGATTTCGTTTAGGAAGATCCCTTTGATGCTATGTGTTAGGTGGGGCATGTGATTCATGGTGTGCGTACGTGGTGCTCTTAGGCGAAATCTCTGAAGGACTGGGACAGGGAGAAGCTAGGCAAAGGTGTGGATGTAAAACCCGTCTCCCTCAGCCTGCAACATGACTGATACCCTTGAATCCCCTATTCATCAGCCACTGGCCAAGGGCCAACCCTGAGCACCAAGGCTCCCACTGGACTGAGACAAATCTCCAGAGAAAAGTGAGCTCACAAACATCCAAGACTCCGAGCAGTTGAGGAAGGGCTGTTTGTACCTCCTCAGTTGAGGTGGAACTGGGCAGGTATCCCCTTGACCATTATAGGGTATTTTGAAAGAAGAACTGGAATCATCCGAGTGGGAAGAATTCCATACTGGTGAAAGGTAACACCATCCGAACGTAGATGGTGGCTGAGGTCGGCATCATTGTGGCCTCCCAAAGAGAGCCACAGCCATACTCCCAGAACCAGAGAATATTTGTTCAATACATGACAAAATGGGCTTTGTGATGTGACTCAGCATGGAAGATTTTGAAATGGGGATATTATCCTGGGTTATTCAGGTAGACCTGAGTTAATCACATGATTTCTAAGCTAAAGAAACTTTTCTGGATGCGATTTCTTTACAATCTCCAGAAAGGAGCCCTGCCAACACATTGGTTTCAGCTCTGTGAGATTCCTGTTGCCCTTGAACCTACTCAACTGTGAGATGATAATTCTGTATGGTTTTTATTTGTGATAGCAACATCAGAACATAAATAGTGGCTTAGGAGTGGAAAGGAAAATATACAAGAATGAGTAAGGAACTGAGAAAATCTCCAAAATTAAAAAAAAATCACATGAAATAATAATAGTTCTTACTATCTTTCTTAAGATTTTTAAACTAACTTTAAAGGCCACAGAAAAAATAATTTCAATGAAATTAAAAGTGAATTAGAATAGGAAGATAGAATATAAGTATTATGTTAAAAAGTATGAAAAATACCTTTAGTGAGCTCTCAAGTGGTTAAAAGAGAGAAGTAATTCTATTTCTTATTGGTATTACATTAAAGTTACAGGTGTTAGTAATTGACTGGGTTTTCTTTGTAATAACTCGAATCATACCACTATTTAAAAAATAGATGTAGAAAAAATTATTTTCAGAATAAAGCCTCATATAATTTTTGAATGTACTTTCAACCCATGACTATTTTATTTATTCCTGTTGAATACACTATTTGCAACCATCTCATAAACATTACCAAGCAGAATATCATTTTAAAAAGTCCTTTGTAAGGGAAACATTTGAACAATTTTTCAGTAAATATCAAATTTGACTAAAGCATACGTGTTACACCTTCCTTAGTTAAAAAGTTCAATAGTGTCTAAAGCACGCAATAAAAATGTTGTCTGGCCTTTCCTATCACCCCTATCCCGTCATTGAACCACTAACCTGGATGCGCGAGGACGTTTTCGTAAAT